ATCGGCACCGACACCGGCACCGGCACTGGCACTGACACCGGCACCGGCACCGGCACCAGCACCAGCATCGGCCACGGAAGAGGAGCGAGCACAGTGCTTCCGTCCGCCTGCTGCACGACGGCCGAACGAGTCAGGTAGCCAATCGGCTGGCCTCCGAACCCGGTCAGATGCTGTGAAATACTTCGGAATAGCGAAGATCTGTCCCGCCCGAAGCCGACAACAAATTTGAAACGTTTCCCATTATATCGAAATTTGCGCGCGTCCTAATAATCCTCGGTATCTCAAAAAGCGAGCCTCCCTTCCCTCCTCAAGTGCAATTTCTATAAAAGTGAATTTCCAACGGACAATAAAATGTTATAATTCATTTCGAGGTCGCTCATTGATACCATCACAAAGGGACAGCATCCTTAAATGGCCTGAAAAGGCTTGCGGTTGAGTCACGGCCAGTGGATTTACAGGTACCACAATAACAATAAAAGAAAAGAGAAAAAGAGCGATTGTCAAACGGGACCAACGGTAGTAATCCAGATTGAGCGGATTTACCGGGATAATCCGAGGAAATGAGCGAAAAATATGTCGTCGTCAGCGGAGCGAAAATCCTAATTATGGATCGCGTAATTTGTTAGACAAGAACGATTGGTATCGTATACAGGCAGTTATAAAAATGCATTAGTTTCGTCTCGAGGGAACTCTCGGGCCTCTTCTTAATGCATAACTGGCGTGTAAGAAACTGCTGTCGTGCCGAGCGTTCGGAAACAATGTGAGGAAGCGAACCATCTTTTCCTGTTGCGCTCGCATTGACTCGGAGCCGAGAAGGCGTTCCATCCGCTCGTGACGGCGCGCTCTGCTCTGCTCTGCTTTGCTCCGCTCCGCTCCGACGTACATTTGAGAAAACGCCCCGAATAAAGTCAGCCGCAAACACGTACAATGACAAAAAAGCGATTTGTTTTAATACCAAGGTTATTAGATAAGAATTCTTCTATTAACTGATATTACTTCATAAAAACGCAACGCACGTTAATATTAATAATAATACTAATTATTTAATTACTACTACAGTTAACAATATATTATTGTTATGTAAATAATTATTCAAATTATTGTATTCCGCAATAAAGGAATTTTGCCAATGTAACGCGTTACCTGCTGACTTTTCAAAGGAAAGTCCTCTATTATGAGATAATAGATTTTCCATGCACAAATTCAATTACAGATCTTTTTTCGCAACGATTACACATTAACAATGAATTTTCTACTAAACAGATTTCGCTCCAAGGGCGATACATTCACGGTGGAATCAACTGATGATGCCTATTAATTCAACAGAAACCCCGCTATCCCACATTAGGGGACTTTCCTCTATTAATTCGACAACGTCAATCACTCCGATTGCCGATTCAGAAAATCTGGAAACTCTCCTACCAATTGACACGGGACGCGAGATCAATATATTAATTGGCGATACTACACCGCGGCAATAACCGTGGTTAGTATTACGTAGTTTCGACGAGAAAAAAAACCCGATATCAGTCGTACTCGCGTCGCTGCGATTATGTTAGCGACGCCGCCTGCTGTTATATAACGGTCGCCATATGACGATTTCAGTAATAACAAAATGCCGATGGTATCTGCTATCGCAAGAGTCAACCCAGCTCGAATAAGCCCGGCGATTGTTGTTGCGATTAATTGTCGCCATTTGTTAGCAAGTTGCCGCAGCCTATATATCCACCTGTCTCACCTGCACACACGCCTATAGGCAGGTAATCGTCAATCAAGGCGCGCGCGCCTGCTGGTTCCGAGAAGAGCGCGTAAAACCCCGCGGTCTCGATTAAGCTGCATATTCCGATCCCGTTCGACTAAACGGTACGAGGACAGGAAAGACCGTCGCCCGATAAGAATCGTTAATTCAACAACCGCCATTGTGCATCGATCGTGGCGGAGAGGCGTCGTATCGTTTAATTAACGACGCCGATGTACGTACGTGCCCGTAATAACAGCGTGGTTTGACCAGAGTGGTTTACGTTTTACCGGGGCAGCGCCTTGAAAACATCTTCATGGCCGCCGAGTAATCTTGACCCAAAGACACTCTACATTGATTCTTCTTTACGTTACACATTGAATTCACGTCAAAAGTTACGACTTCCTGTTATTGCGGCGGCCGCGACAGGTACGGTGTATGTGAAAAGATTATGCACCCCGTACACTCTCTACGTTTATGTAAGGTAAGTCCGGGGAAGATGCCAGTAGTGGGTGTCAAAAGTGTCACTTTGTTAAATCTGGCAAGATCTGTTCAAAGTTCAAAAGCAAGCCGCGAACAGGTTTCTTATAATTTTGCACTCTTATCTATTAAGATCTTTCATAATTTCTTTTCATTGAAAGTTCTTCAGGCGATTTTATGTCAATTTACAGTGCATTTAATAAGTATAGCACTGAACAATTCAAAACAAATCGATAAACGCAAATCTAAGCTAAAAATATTAATTTTTCTGACAGATAATTGTCTTCCCACATTACAGAGGACATTTTTCGCGGAATTATCTTAGACTTTGCTCTTAGAAATTGAAGATTGCGCTGTGTCTTGTAATAGGTGCATCACCAAACATAACTAGGATCTCCCGTCACTTTCTATTTGACAGATACGTAAACTAATTAAAAAGAAATTAATTAGACGATATTTAGGAAATAACGAGCCAGCTATTTGACGCACGGTCAGATAACAGTAAGGGACCACGATGTTTCAACAGTAGCAAAGTACAGCGACAAGAATGTCGCTATCTATCTTGCAATCAGCGTTGCTCCGGCGAACCGGGACGTCCCTCAAAAATTGAAGACGCCACGGGCATTCATTCGCGGCGTCGAGTCCGCTCCGTTCTCTCCGCGAGCGTATCCTCGTTACTTTATTTCCGCTATTTCTCGCGCGGTATCCGTCGATGAAACTGCTACGATTCCTGAATCCGCCCGCCCGCTCGCCCGTCCATCCGTCGATCCGTCCACCCACGGTGCCCGCGCGCCGAGTGTGGGCAGTTTCCTGTACGTTGATCACGTATTCCTTTTTTTTCTTCAGCCTACACACGTCCGCGGGCGCGAGCGCACGAGCCTCCATGTTGGCAAAAACGAGGCGTTCCAAGAGGGAGAGAGAGAGAGAGAAAGAGAAAGAGAGAAGGAGGGGGAGAGGAAGGGAGGAGAAAGAGGGAAAGAGAGGCACCATCGTCGCGTGCGTGTGTGTGTGTACCTGCGTGAGTTTAATTTGCCAACCTTTCTCATCCCTTCGCCCCCTCGTCCTTCCCCCTTGTGACTCCGGCCTCACTTCGTGATACTTGGATTCTTCCTCCCTCCCTCTATCTGTCCCTCCCACCCTTTTCGCGCCGTAGAGAAACACCGTGTCTCTGTGTGCACGTGAGGAAGTGGCATGGATAGGAGGGCAGCGGGGAGAGAAAGGGGAAGGGGGATCGTACGTGCGTGCCTCGAGTGTGCGTGCGATAAAACTGACGTCACGGGGCAATCGCGGTGGGGGGAGCCCATTCATAACCCGAGCAAGGACAGGCTTAAGGCCGTTTCGGACGGTGTGTTACATCGAGCCGAAGATGACAGCAAGTTTTTGCTCTCTCTCTCTCTCTCTCTCTCTCCCTCCTCCCCTCCCTGTCTTTCCCTCTCTCTTTGCACGGCCATTGCAAAAAAAAACTTTTGAACGGATAATCGGCGGCCCCGAGAGCCCGAAATGGAAAAACGTATGCTCGCAGACACGACAGAATCGTTTTCACTACGGTCATAACGTAGTTGGAGCTTGTTGTGAATGATATCTCGGTTCCGAGATAACAGGACATTTTTGCTATTCTTTCACACCGAGATGCTCTTATGTAAATATACAAGTTTGCCTCTCTGCGATTATACGGGGACGGGACTGCCGCGGACTAACGCGCCGGACGATCGTAACTTGCTCGTAAATAATACAGTTTGTGCATGCGTGCGTGCGTGCGTGTACCAAATATAATATCTAACTTCTATGAGAACGACTTGCACACGATTGGCACGTATCAGATTTCAGAACGTCGTTTATCAAACGTTATCGATGAGGATTTACGTATAATCGCATCACGCGACAGATAACGCGCTCTCGTATTGTGAATGGCAGCCACGGCCGCGTACTTTACTCCTTTTAAATATTACATCGAGACGCTTGGCTAACATGGAAAATTGTCGGAAGGCGAAACCCGAAAACCGCGTGCTCCAAAACTTTGGTCACTGTACGGCTTACAGGACACCCTGTAGAAGGCTGTAGAGGCGTGCCCACGCGGTTGGACAGCGCGGCTGATAGCACGATGGGAGGAGGGGGAGGGGGATCACGGGTACAAGCACCGTGTGCGACCAATGAGCCGTATCCTGCTAAACTGTTAAGAAGGAAGTGGTTCGTTGCTGCTGCTGTTGCCGCTGTTCTCTCTCCATCTGTCTATCTATCTAGCTACCGATCTATCTGTCCATCTCTCTGCGCCTAATCTCGTCTATGCACGCTCGTCGATGTACATGTGTCCATTTTATTTATTTGTACATCCGCGAGTCTCGATCCCTTTTCGAGATTTGACATCGTTTTCGCGCGTAATGTATGTACGAGTGTAAGTTGGCATCGTGAGAAATATACTATCCGACTTGTAAGAATGCATTTTCCTCGATGATATAAACGAATTGCAAGTTATTTTTAGAGTTGTAGAAATAATATATAATATACATATATATATATCTCATATATATATACACTTATACATACGTAGATAAGTTTAATAAATACTTGTGTAGACTTCGGTTGCTGATAAGATAACAATCAAGGGATATCAAGTGGCAATGATATCATTTTATATTGAGATTGTTGAATCAATATTTAGTAAAGGAAGCCGTGGTATCAGTAGACGATATTTTTATCAGTACTTTCATTTTAATAGTATGAGGCAATAATAATACCCAGCATCATATATAAAATATCAGTGAAAAATTATCGGAAATCGTATTACTCAACGCAAGTGATTATATAATGCGATAACGATTACCATTCATCTCTTTAACTTATGTAGGAATATCAAAGTTATAACGCCAATTAAACGACTCAACTATCTAACATATGATAATAATCGCGCGATATATTCGGTGTCCGTGAAACACATACTCGATTGGCAGCACTCGGGAGTAAAAAGAAGAAATATTATAGCAATGTACCTGATATTGTGACTCGTATACGAATACATATGATGTCGTATGCACGCGCAAAATAAGGGATTGCTCTGCAGACAAGTACTCACCGGTATTTTGCTGCTTTTCAGGAAGTCCAACAACGCTTCAAGAGCTCCCAAGGTTGACGCCTGAACGTAAACTCCTCGTTCAGCTAGCCGTATGTTTCCCAGAGCGCTCGACAATTCCTTTCCTATTTCTTCCTTCATAACGTCTACTTCGTCTGGTTTTTGCGCAACTTGCATATTTAATCCTACATGAGAATATCAACTCGTGTTACATTCTTCAGAACAAATTTAAAAATTATACGTATTTTATATATCACAAAGCAAAAGAATACTCTTATTGAATTTAGAAGTAGGCTACGTACCAGCAATGGACTTTTCCAAATCTTTAGCAGCAATTTTCACTCCTTGGGCAGCCTTCACTTCACGATGTTCAATATACGCATTCTGAAATAAAAAATATACATGATGCACATTATATCTCAAAATCAAACATAAATACAATTGGGTTACTGTTGTTTCCACCATCGATACCAGAGACTGACCAAATTTTATTTTCCGACTATTCTTTTAAACTTTTTGACTTCATAATCTATTTACATCAAGGACTACGGTTACTTTTATCCGGCGATTTATATGATTGGACAAATTATCCTGTTATCTTATTGAATTCTTTTATACTTTAACCGATAATGCGGATCTTACAATGCTCTTTTAATCCATCGACTTTGTAAATTTAATATTTTTCTATTTAGCTGATTGGATAATGTCAATCTTATTTGAGTTTTTACTTATAATGCGTAACCGTGAATGTGAATGCACAATATGATAGACCATTTTAAAATACATATATTTAATACTGAAGAAGGCGGAAACATTTATTATTTGTCAAGCCGTTTGTACCAAAATATATAACTATAAACTTTCTTTATAAATCACAAAGCTAATTTATTGATTTTTATCTTAGAAGTCTTATTTGCTCAATTTTTGTTTCAAAATCAAGTATGGAGGAAGTGAGATGTGGTGTGGTTGGTACGAATGGTGGATTCGTAATCGACGGGTTTCGAGTTTAATCCCTCATCTTACATTACAGATTTTAAATTCGTAATCTGCGTAAACTAAAGTTTTAGCTGAATGATTGATAGTATACAAGAAATAATAATTGTGATTTATCTTAGAGCATAAAAGAAACTGAAATATTATCCTGACTCGCAATTCCTTTAATGGTTGCGGCATAAGAAGCATAAAAGAAATTGAAATACTACCTTGACTCGCAACTCCTTTAACGGTTGCGGCATAAGAAGCGAGCGAATTTGTGTTACAATAGGCCCGTCCGTACCAGCAATGATGACTGTATCACCTTCTCTTAACACGCCATTGACTAGAATACAGTCTATCGTCGTACCAAGTCCAGGCAATGCTTTGACTTCTAATACGGTAGCCTGAAGCTCTTCGCTGTACATCAATCTTTTAGCCAAAGGACCTTGGCATGCGTCAACTATTAACGCCAACAGATTGCCCATACCTTCGCCTAGACACAATACCGTGAATAATTAGAAAGGAGAAGGCTCACTATGAAAACAATTAATATTAAAAAACAAAGACAGAAAAGCCAAAGCAGGTTGCTTGTGCTCTTAAACAGAAACACTGATTAGTGCCAACAACCTGCCTTAGCTCTTCTACTTTTGTTTTTTAATATTGATGATACAGTAAGATATAAAAAAAGTTTAAATATCCTCAGATATCGCGTTTCTATCTTCAAGTATACATTTGTATGTCGTTACCTGTTATAGCACTGGTAGGAACTAACGACACATATTCTCTAGGATCTGGATTTTCATAATATACTGCCGCATTTAGACCTTGTTCGGCAAACTGTACAATAATATCCTTCGACCGCCTCTCAAATTCTCGCTGAGTATTGGATTCTTGATTCTTTACTATATCTTGAACATCCTTACGATTCATGGTCCGCCAATCGTACAATCTGAAAAAATGAAATTGTCATGACTTTTGTAACGCAGCTTTATGATAGCTACTCTTATGACATAGAGTGCAAATTATTCTATAGCAAATATCTCAGTTATCAATTACTTAATGTGAAATTACCTGTCAATTTTATTGAGAGCGACAACAAAAGGACATTTTTTGGCTTTCAATAAATTGAGACTCTCTATAGTTTGTGGTTCCAACCCATGCATAATATCTACAACTAAAATTGCTATATCGCAAAGAGAAGACCCTCTGCTCCTGAGATTACTGAACGATTCGTGACCAGGTGTATCTATGATCAAGAGACCAGGGATTTTAAATTCCTTGTCAGCAAACTAAAACAAAAAGGTAATTGTTAAATATGGTATAATCAGAACATCAATGTTTAAAGATTTAGATCTCAAGTCAACACTTACGCCCTTTACATGCCTTGTTGAATCTTGGATAGCTTCAATCGGCACATTAGTAGCACCAATTTGTTGAGTTATACCACCAGCTTCTCCATCTTGTACATTCGTTCTTCTCAATTTGTCCAGAATCTTCGTTTTGCCAGTATCGACGTGTCCCAAAACACAAACAACGGCAGCTCTCAGATTATCCAAAGACTTCTTCTTCTCTGCCTCTATACGGCGATTCAGAATTCGTTCCCTTGCACGTTCCTTTTTACGTGCGGCATCTGGCACTTTATCCTCCACCTCACTACCTTCATCGCTCTCAACCTCAGATACAGATTCACTTCCGCTTTCGCTCTCTGTATCACTTTCGGACGAATCTTTCTTTTCTCGTTCAGCTGAGCCCGCGACTTTTTGACCAGGTTTCTCCACTTTTTCATGTGTCTTGAGAATATCATCTGATTTATCTGAAATTAATTAAGATTTGATTACTTTAATGTATCACTTTACTAGATAAGAGAATCTCTGAACCATATGATTTTATAATCTATATAAAACAATACCTTCTTCTTCTTGTTCATCATCAGTGGTATCGGCATCCCATGAATCCTTAACATCGTCTTCTTCTTTCTTTTCTTTTTCATCCTTTACTGGTTCATCTACAATTTCTACTTGCACTTGAGCCGCGGATGTTTCAATATCCTCAATCTTTTCTTCCTCTTTCTTTTCTACACTAACTTGTTGCTTCAATTTATTTGGCCTAATTCGTGTTCCTAAAATCATAAAAATAATACAAAACAATGCAATACTTAATGTAATAACTTTAACTTCTTTGTAAATATTCTACAAAAATATATACAATACCTGGTCTAGGTTTTTTCTCTCCTACTTCTGGCAAATCCAAACCTTGAGCTTTAAGTGCTTCGATCATTGCTTGTGCTCTAGCTCTGTCTTGTTTTTGTTTCGTTGTTAAGAATTTTCCTTCTGCTTTCAATCTCTCTTTTCGTTGTTTTTCTTTCAATTTCTTCTTTTCTTTGCGCTCCTGTTCAAGTCGCAGTTGTTCCAATCTTGCCTGCTCTCGCAATTCGTCTTGTCGTCTCCTTTCCTCTTCTTCACGCTTCAATCTTTCTTCCTCCTCTTTCAATTTCTTTAAAGCTTCTTGCATAGCAGCAATAGTTTTCTTTCCAGGCCCTTTAGCTGTTACAAGGGTGATTATTAGAAATACATATACGTTAGAAAAACATCACCCAAACGATATATATTTATAATTGAAATTACCTTTTTCTTTCGTTTCTTCCTTACCACCTTTCTTCTTTTTCTTCTTCGTACCATCTTCAAGCTCAGCAGCATCACCATCGGCTTCTACGCTATCCTCCTCCTTCTTTGCTGATATAACTGTATCATTTTTCTTTTCATCAGAAGTTGTAGTTTCACCATCTTCTTTCTTATTACTTTCCTTGGCAATGTCCTATCAGATAAATAAAAAACGTTATTAAATACATGTATTATTAATAAGAAATATCTCATTAATTTTAACACAAAAGATTTTCAAAGGCATTTATTATAGTGAATAAATTACACATTGTATCTATCTTTCTTACCGCTTTTTTCTGAGCTAACTTCTTTTGCTTCTCTCTTTCCTTCTTTTCTTTTTTCTTTTGAGCCGCCGTCTTTACAGTACTAACTTCAATGTCCACGTCATCATTATTTAATTCTGGTTCTACAATATTATTGTCCGTAGTTTCATCTTTGACATCTCCCTTTTCACCCTTTTCATCCTTTTCCTTCTTCTTATCCTTCTTCCCCTTTTTCTTTTTATCTTCATTGTCAATGTTTTGCTCGTTTGGTTCTGTTTTATTTTCAACTTCATTGTCCGTAGCTGGTGTGTCTCCAGAATATTCCAATGCCAACTCTGCCAATACTTGTTCAATGTCTTCATCGCTGTCATTGCGCTTTCTCCTACCTATCGAAGCAAATCACAAAATCTATTACAACCAACAGAATATTATACAATTGTATATTTAACGTGTGTGTGTGTGTGTAAAACTTGGACGAGAAAGCAACTACAAGACGTTGATGATGTATGTATTATAAAAAAAATCAACTAAATTTGAACGATTCTCTATTAATCTGTGTTGATTAATTAATGATATAAAGCAATCAGTTTCAAGACATCGGGACAAACAATAGACTTGTTGGGAGGATTATAGTTAAGAAACATTACTTTCCTAATGATCGAAAATAAGTATCATAAATATCACGACATTAATCTTAAGCACGACACGATTCAGGGGTCCTCAACTTTCACCTATGTATGTCACTTGGATAGCTTTCACTTTCACTCTACTCGATTGACTAAAACAAGTTGTAACGCTAGAAAAATTACAGGCAATTTATCACAGTTCTTCAAGACCTTGCTATGCAGCTTGACTCCGCAACGTTATCTAACGTCAGACATTATTAGAACGACGGAATATAGAACTGCTGCCAGATTCGTTACGACGGTCCTCGCGGGAAACATAGAATGTCCGCGGCATCGCATAGGTGCCATGGGCGAGCATATCGAGTATCACAATCGCCATATGCGGCGCCGAGGAGACAACGCGACAGCGACAACGACAACGCCAACGACGTCGGTGCCGATCCGACGTGCGGGCGTGTAGACGGGGAGCACGATTGAGGTTAGGTCGAAGCAGACGACACTTGCCACATCGGTGCCAGTGGCACGCACGTGCATATGTTAAATCGACAGACGTTAAATTCGGCGAGGCGACGTTCGCGAGACGGCGTTCGTCGCCGGTGCGACCCTCCCGCTCACCTTTCTTGCCCTTTTTCGGCTGCGACTCCTGCATCCTGGCTCGCTGCTGCGGTCGACCGCTCCGTTCAGCTTTCTCCCCGACTCCTCTATCTCGCGTTCCCCCAACAGGCTGTCTCGGCGATCGGCTCGGCCGGCGATGGCGCGTGCGACGATCTCGGGACGAGGAATGGTGCGATACAAGCGTATCGCTGGTAAAAAGTCATGCAGACGCAACAAAAAATATATATATCTCGTGCAGTATCACCACGAGCGTGCTCGCGACCCGGTCTCGCCAAGGCAGGGCGGTACACAGCTTGTGGAGCACGCAACTCCGCGCTTGCACACGTGTGGTAGTGACTGTAACGTCCGTTCGGTCCATTCTGCGCCACAGAACGCAACGGCACGTCACGTGACGCGACCCGGCCAATCAGCCCGTGCGGACGGTTACGCCGCTCGAGAGGTGCGCGCGCCGCTCCGTTGGCCACCATTGCCGCGTTTACGTTACGGCGCGTCATTTGAACATCGACGTTGCTACCAAAGTTGAAACGCTTCTTGTTCTCGATGAATTTCGGAACGCAACAATTTTACGAAGACGCGCGACAAGAAGCCACAGAAATTTATGTAGATCCCAAAAGAATTACCTCTTTGGAAACTTTTGAAAATTTTTCAAATAATTATACTCATAATTATTATTGCTATTATATAATCATGTGCATATATGATAATATTTCGAGTCAATCATCACTGCGCTAATCTAATCGAGGATTAAAATTTGATCAGAGTGAAGTTCGCTAAACTTTTGAGAGAGAGAGAGAGAGAACTTTGCTCCGATGCAGTCAAATTTCAATTTGATAAGTACAGAACGAAAATAGTCTAAATTCTCTTTGTACTTATTACGCAAATTTGTTGTTAATTAATAAAACTGGAAATAAAACATAATTGTTAGTTGGATTTCTCTCCCCTCGCCTTACCCATGCCCAGTGTGCAATATCATATAAAAAAACTCTTTTAATATTCAAATTTGAGAATTAGACGTCCATCAATGTCATCTTAAAGATAACATAATGATAACAATAAGTCCTGTAATGAAATTTTAGAGGAAAAAAGACACTTAAAAGAATACTAAAATCTGATTTCTTATAAATGTCCTAATGTTAGTTAACATTAAGAATTGCTATTTGGCATTAAGAAGTACATCGTCGCAGCATCGTACTAATGGTCATTATTAAAATAAAATTTTAAAAAAATAATAAAATTCTTCTCTTTAAATCAGTTCTGTCGAATATTCCGAAGGACCAAAGAAACATTAACAGAGTTACTCTCGAGCAGCACTGAAGATTTACTACCCTCTTCAAGAAGACGGACAGAGCGAGACAGACAAATATTATAGTTCCTATTCTGTCTTGATCAGCGACTTTCTATCTCACTTATCTAAGGTAACATAGAAAATCGTTAACCAATCAGAATTACTAGAAAGAGACAGAAAGGGAAGCATTTGTCAATCTTCAAGAGAGAGCGATACTTAAGAGTGTATCAACTCGACCCAATCATAGGGTTATTCTGATAGAACCAAATTGAAGGTAAAATTAAAGGCAATGTGAGCCGTCACCTGCTCGCCGGTGTTAAATTAAAAGTCTACGTCAATTTTTGTAGAAACTCTGATAGAACCGTTTCAATCATTCCGGCGAAATTCTTTTGTGCGATATGCGATGTTGGCGATACGCGAGTTACGTCTTTATGTTTATGCAAGTTTATGCAAGTTAAGCTCCTTGTGACGATACCCTGAGTCTTCCAGTATAGTACGGAATTCACTGCTGGAATTCACAATACTTCCAATTGGGAAATTTATCATTTTTTACAAGAAATATTGTTCCATGATAACACATGTAAGTAAAGTAATTAATAATTAAATATTTCAAACATGTACAATTTATGTAATACATTTCCAATTCATTGGTGTTTGTACGTTTTGCTTAGAGCGTTGAAGATAATTAAGAAAAAGATAATAAAGATAAACTTAATAATTTATATTGCAAAATAACTTTTGCTTTTTCAAAAAGTGAATTTTAAAAGAATTTAAATTTAGATTATTTCGAATAATTCTATACGAAAACTTTCATATGTAAAGAATTTTATCATCTGACTGCTAGAATGAGGAACAAAACGATTAAGACCAACGCTAATACAACTGCCACCATGAGATGGCATCACGATTTGCAATAGTTTCTGATTAAATTTGTAATGATTTCAATAATGTCAACGTTACGTGCAACGCAATAAGAAAATATTAGCAAGTCTTGTTTTCATATATCTAAAATAAAATTTCACGAATCTATGTGGTATATACATACATGCGATTTTGTCTCAAATTTAACTACTCCACTTTTTATGTTATCGTATTGTATAAATTAACATGTTTTGAATGAATTATAAATTATTATAAATTATCGCAAACCGTCGAAACTCGTTTACTGACTTAATAATCAGGACGATGTATTCAAACGTCTCGTTAAATAGTGAGTTTCTCGCCCTTAGAAAAAAATACTTAGCGCTGCGTCGTAACGTCGCGTGGTAACGTCTGTCATATTTCTAGCCTGGAAAAGGTAAATAAGAATTTATATTCACTTGATTTCGCGTCTACAATGTGTCCTTGGCGTATAATCCAAACATTACATTTCGCACAGTTATTAGATAATACAATTTTACGATGGCTTTAACATGGAAACATATGTCGCTTATCTGTATCTTATCTATTGAAATACTTTACGATTCAATATGTATTTCGCCATTTTGTATTTTTTCAATCCTAGTTTTACTTATGAATATACGATATATATCATATTGCGAAAGTTATTAGCTAAAATCAGAAAATAAGAAAAGAAGAAAATAATTAAATATTACCCTGTTTACAATCTAGATACCAGAGAACTCTTCACGTTGTCATGTTCAACTTTAATCTCGCGTGCTATGTTATACAGAGACTAATCTTAGGAGGCAGTTTTGTCGAATCATTAACTTATGTAACGATAGTTCTAATACCGTTGAAATCTCGAGTGCTTCACGTCTTCTTGCTATAGAAACTGTTACAACTGAGATATAATAATTATGTAAAATTGTTGTTAATTCAATACAATATAACATGCTAATTTATGCAATATGATAACACAAAAATGAGGTGATTAGTTGAAAGTAAACCTGCATGTGTAAATTATACACATACATTTTAATTTTTCGTGAAGAAACGCAGTTAGTATTTGTCTATTCTTATTGCATTTTATACACGATCTGTCGCAAAAATAACCGAAACTTTGAAAAATCATGAAACAACTTTTTAGGACAAATTTGTTCAAAATACATTCCTGTATTTTAAATAAAGTAACATTTATCCCAAAGAATTGTCGGTGTTTTGTTAGTTTTAAGAAGTTGGATCATTTTTGCGACAAACCGTATATAAATCATTGTTTGCACGAGTTAGTTGAGCAAGTACCAAAAACTATTAAAAGTCACAAGTAATAATTTAATTATTCACAATATGGTCCATCTAACATTACCTTACTACATTTCCTCACTATTAATTTTTCACTTTTACGTACCTATAAATCACTTAAATATTTGAAGAAAAAAATGAGAATTATAATCAATTGATCCACTATACTTAAATTATTATATATTTAGTTAAAACGTCTTGTCTTTACCAAAATTACGAGTAATTTTATTCTTAAATTAGCGCAAAGTTTACGAAAAGAGAATCAACAGAGGGAATATATCATCAGTGTTTTTGCTTGTCACTCGCTTAATGACAAAATGACAATTGCAAATGACAAACTAAATATTATCTTACCGGCAGATTACTCAAGACAACTGATTATTTAGAATGACGTATTTTATGATATAGCACGTGTGTGCGAATTTCATATGAATTCAAACAAATCGGTAGTATTATGCATCTTTAAATACATGTAATCATCTCCAACTCCCACAATGGAGACCCTACTATGTATTACACATGTGACTTAAACGATAACATGCATCTGAAATTGTCAGTCTATCATCGTGTGCATCAACGAACAGTCGGCAATATGATATGATATAGAAAGTGTGTGATTTGTTTGGTTTGCAGATTTCTAGCTTTTACTTAATAATTTATTAATTTCCAATCAAAACTAAATTCAAAATTTAAGTGTTATTACAGATCAAAGTACTAATTATAAAAACTAAACTTACACATTTTAATCTAAGATATTAAAATACTAAATATAGAAAAGCTAAAAGAAATTAGATACGTGGAAATAATAGAATTTAATAACTTTAAATTAATCGTTAACTCATAATTAATTTATTTTTCGTAGGTGCTTTAGATTGAAATTCACGTAAGAATACGGATAAAAAATGCGAGTGCCACCAGTGATTTTCCCTTTGTTGTTCAGCCTGGCGGTTTGCCACGGATATCGCTTGCTTGGACTATTTCCCTTTCAAGGCAAGAGTCATTTTGTTATGTTCGAGCAGCTGTTGAAGGGTCTAGCTCGAAAGGGCCATCAGATCGACGTGGTCAGCAAGTTTCCATTGAAAAAGCCTTATCCAAATTACACCGATATCGTAACGCTACCAATGCCAATAAAGCTGGTAAACAATATGACATTTGATATCATGCGGCAATTGTTCGCCGAAAATCCGACGTACATTGTTGCGACAATGGCAGGAAACGAGCTTTGCGAATGCTTGGAACATCCAGAAATAAAACAGCTAGCGCAACCGAAGAATCCACCCTACGATGCAGTTCTTATAGAGGTATACGATAAAAGAAAAGTCAGATTCTCTCCAAATTGATAATAAAAATCTAACTATTTAAAAAATTATTCTCTCATACTATAGAGTAATATTTTGTTATAAAGAATGATCATAACTAAGATGGGACATAAGATCAATAAAAAGATTTTGTAAGATAATTTTTTTACATTGAATGTAAGATTGTAGAGTCAAGATATTTATTATTCAAATCCGCTTTTTAAATCTTCATTTTGTTTAATCTTAATTGAGAGATATAATTTTTTAAATATTTTTTATTGGCCAAATTAGGCCATACTAACTAACTAATAGAAGTTCCAATAGATATGTTTTAAATTTTTGTATCAGTAAAGCGAAATTATTTAATAATAAAAATTTGTAATTTGCATGGCTTGAAAACGTCGAATCCTCAATAACCGCGAATTTATACTAACTGTTTGATACCGTCAAGTAGTACATTTGTGCCGATCAGCCAATTTACTAGTTATTACTATTTGATACGCGCGTATCAAATAATCGATGTAAACTAGACCAATATATTTTAAATATCTTCAGAAGGATATTATATCGCAGCCTTGATATTTACTTAAAGCTCAATTATTTGCTTAGGAGCACATCTATACTTTCTATAATATTTGTTCAATCAATATTTTCATCAATAATATGTAGGGCGTAACTTTGTGTAATTTAAACATGAACAACATTTAACGAATGTTTCGTAGTAGTTTCTTCACTTGACAGTAGACTTCTAATTACATGCGATTATCTCGTTTTAGCCTAAAGGTCAATAGTTTGACATGCTTCTGATATAAGAGATAAACTTTGATTCCTTCTTTGATGTTGCAATAATAAGAAACTATTATAATAACTTAATGACATGTACAAAGTGTTCTACATTGTTACAAGTGGCTATGATCCAAAATGGTGTCAATTATGTTACGCCCCTTATCTTGATTAATATGTGTCAAGACACTTGCTCTTACACTCGACTATATTAATCGGCAAATATTTAAACAGTTTTATTGCGAGCAATTTCACTATCATACGCCTTCTTAGGTTTTTGGCGCGCACTGTTTCGGTATCATTGCCCATCTACTGAAGGTTCCTTTGATTGGGGTCAGCACTACGTCGTTGTATCCATGGCTACCTTCACTGATCGCTCAACCTGAGAGCCTGGCCTTCGTGCCGAGCAATGTTTTAAGTTTCACCGGTCGTATGAATTTCTGGCAACGTCTGTATAATACGGTGCGCACGTATTACGACAAATGGTATTTCAATTATCTCACGACACGAGAGCAAGACAAGATAATAAGGGAGCAGTTCGGGCCGGACATGCCGGGCGTACGGGAATTGGAAAGAAAGGTGTCGTTGATCCTCATCAACTCTCACATCGCGCTAAATGGAATACAGCCGAAGACACCTGCCGCGGTGGATGTAGGGGGGCTCCATGTCCAGGATGAGGATCAAATGTTGCAGCCTGTAAGACTCTTATGACCCGTTTTCGTGGCCGTTTTCACTTTTTCGATGTAGCGCACGCAGCACAACGAATCGCGAGCTCACGTACATTATTCTTGCAGTTTAACGCTGATAACTTGTTTGTAAAATAGATAATTTCATGTGTGAAGCAGCAATATGTAAAATGTTTTTGCAACTTATGCACCTTCGAAATTGCTCTGAAAACAATTGGTCGAACCGATGTTAATCCGACATCAATTCATCGATAAACTGTCAATGTCAAATACTAGTTGGTATCTTTGTCATTTTCGAGATTTCTATTCTCTATATATTCGATGTAGAATTGGCCGAAAGAATCGTTTCTTCCTGTATATTCAATAATCAATTATTAGCTTATTATTGGCATTAGACTTGACAAGTCTTCATTGTTTCACGACTCCTTAAAATATTTCGTAATAATGTTTTTCTTAAAAGCAGAAATGCAGACTGTAAAATACTTTAAGTGGAAAATGTATCATAGCTCATGCGATAACAGCACGCGTTAATTAATTGTCATTCGATTATCTTTCTTCTATCGTATATGCAAAAATGGCATGAACAGTAGCATTAACATTGTGTGTACATTTGTTAGTATTATTAACAAGATTAGTAAACTTGCGAATAGTATTAGCAAGTATACATAATGTTCTTCTTCGTCTTGATACCGTTTTTCCCACAGGAATTAGAAAAATGGATGAATGATAGCAAAAACGGTTTCATCTATTTTACTTTTGGCTCGATGATGATGATTGAAACGTTTCCACCCGAATTTATAAGGGTGCTTTATGTATCCTTAGGCAAAATAGCACCTACAAGGGTTTTAATGAAGATTCCGAGTCCGGAAAAACTGCCTCCCGGTTTGCCCGGGAACATTTACATGTCACCTTGGATGCCGCAAATTAAAGTATTGAGTAAATATCTTTTTTCGATTTTATTTTTGTCTATTGCGAATCGACTCTTTCAAAGTAAATGAATGAAAATTTGGTAAAATCATGAAACTGTCTAATATAAATGTAATGCCGTAGGACATCCTAATATAAAAGGCTTCATCACCCATGGCGGACTCATGGGCACGCAGGAAGCCATAACGTGCGGTGTCCCCATGATCGGTATACCACTCTTTGCCGATCAGTTTATGAACATCGACGCGTACGTCGCCAGAAACATTGCCTTGCGACTGGACCTTGACACGTTTACCGAAGAAAGGATGGATGCAGCTTTAAACGCAATCTTATGGGACCCTTTGTACATGTAGGCAAATTCTATTTCTCATTTTGCAACTTATTATTCGAACAAAAACCTGCATGCTTTATGTACGAGGTTTGTTCCAAAAGTTTCCCATCTCTGCGTATATCTTTGTCTCTGGGAATCCTATTGTAAAATAGGTATTCGGTATTTAGGATGTTTTCCCACCAAGCGGCACGACTCAATTCAGTCGGCAACGGTACGCAGTTGTATGAGTGTCGAAAATTCTGAACGTCACATTTCACAAAATTCGTTCCACGAGTGCTTACTAGAAGATCAAAAGAATTCTCGTTGTTGAAATGGAAGACATTCTGGGATCCATCGACAAAGATTCTGAGTTGCTTAAAAAAGTGCCAAGTTTTTGGCAAAATTTAATACAAATTCTCTTCTCTTACTGTTCAAACCTCCCTTTTTTTACGACATAACGCTTGTGTTTAATCGTTATCTCGAATTTGCTTTGCGTGCACCTATCATTTTGTCATTTTTAATAACAACCATCGAATGTATTTTTCTAATTCGTTTACTTTAGGGAAAGTGCGCGGAACCTGTCCCGACAATTCCTCGATCGACCATTGAATCCTCTTGATACTGCTGCTTATTGGATCGAATACGTCATTAAGTACGGTGAGGATTCCCTGCGATCGCCCGCGATGGATCTGAGCTGGTGGCAATTATCTCTCGTCGATGTGATTGGCTTTCTCCTGTTGTGCGCAACAATTGTTATCGCTGTAACGGCATACATTACGCGTTTCGTGCTGGGTATTATAAACGGAGATAACAGTTCGTCGCATTTAAAAAAGACGAATTAGTCCATGTTAATTAGATATAAATAGATTGCACATTTTGCCTACTATTTATATCTTTGCGAAGAAATTCCCCCGAATTTGGAGGAAACGTTGTTATCGTTTCTCTTAAATAAAGATTTTGTTAAGAAGAGATTTGCATTTTTATTGAGGTATGTAAATCTCTTCGATATTCTCTAACAAATATTTATTAAACGTATAATAATATAATTTTTTGACAGATTCCCCGGTAGCTTAATTTTACTCGCAGAAGCATACATCGTTTACACGATGTTCCCATTATGTACAGACACATTTATATTATTTTTGTATTACGCCAGGCAAATAAATATATTTGCATCTATAAAATCTAATAGTTCGTGTATTCTTTTTCATACAATTGCTCGGAGTTTCTTTGCTGCGATGCTGAATCTCGATATTGAGCCTTAATGGATTTCTGTTCTTGTATGTATCGCGTTTTAGAAATTATATTATAGGAAATTTCGAATAACAATACTCGAAAGCGGAGCATCAAATATTTTAGTTTACGTTTAGTATCGGCAATGATTATCTGTAATACTCAATCGTCTCCCAACGATTGCTCTCCTCATTCTTTCCCGCAACTCAGCATGAAATCGATTAAACGCAACCAATTATTCTCTGCAGCATTACGCTATCTCGAGTATTATGCGAGCGCATATTTATCGCGCGTCTTCGTTCTACCATTCGTGAGTATTAAAAGAAATATGCTATGCAACAGTATGAATATATACCGTTGCACATTACCTTTATACCGGTGGCAAATATTCGTTACCCGCTGGTAAGTCACTCTTTCGATAATCGTAGCCATCATTGCTGGTGTCTATCTTAGGCTCGTATGGATACATAGTTTGTTTCATCCAGGTAATATCAATGGGCGCGAATGTCGCCACCTAAGACAAGCCACCAAAGGATTTGTAAAATGTCACGTAAGATCAAAAAGTACCTAAATCTTGCTAACACTCAAACAAACAATGGATAATTAAATCAAGGATTAAATAAAGCATATAAACGAAGCGTTTATGTTAAATAACACACTCGAGAAATGACTACGCTTTTTGTACATTCACTACTGCAATCAAATTATAAATTAACGTAATTGTTGGAGGTAAAATAGCAAAACATCTCATTATTATGGAAGTTATTTTAATGTGAGACATATTGCCAAAACTTTAGGCTATGAAATGATCGTAGTTTTATACCTGATTTGTGGGTAAGCATCCGGTGTCCTGGCTGTAAATCCCGGCGATATGGTAGGCTCCGTTGCCGTCGTAGCAAGCCAATGGGGAACCGAGGTCGGCCTGGCACATATTGTTTGTTTCGTGCGCTTTGCCGCAAATTATATTATGCGCAACATTAATGTGGGATTCCGCATCCAAGACGCGATTTCGACAGATGTCATGTGATAGGAGATCTACATCGACCATGTGCATGATGGCACCAGCGTAATGAGCTGAAATCATACAATTGCATTTTTGTAATTATTCAATCCTATCTCTTCATCAAGCAGCTTTATAGTTTATCAAGTATATATTTCTTTTTGAGAGGTGGAAATACGACATGTTACCTTGCAATATCGACTTGCCCCATCCCGTCACGATGCATTGCGAAGTTTCTGGTACTTGATAGCTGTCAGGAAGACATAGCGTGTTGATATGCAAATTGAATTTCGCGGGGTGTTCCAAAAAGAGCATAGCGGTGTCGTTACTGGGCAATCCCTCCACATATCCAGGATGATACTTGATCGTTCGTACATTGATGATTTGGAATGGCAGTGGCTCCTCGTGTTCAAGTTCGTAGCCCAATTTCCATTCCCCGAGTTTCACCGACAGTTCACTTGACGGGAATCTAAAAAAAAAATTCAAGTACTTTTAATTGCTTAATCAGTACGAAGATAGGATCTGAAGACTAGATAGACGCATTAGCTGAGAAACAAGAAACCAAGATTTTTTGAAGGATGTAATGTTTCTTCGCCTTTAAGTTTACTCTGCACGATCTTTATTACGCGATAGAATTCTATTTGTAATTTTTATGTAATTTATATGTAATTACCTGTTTACGCAACTGGCAGCTGTCAGGACAACATCTGACGATATCAATGCGCCAGAACACAAAATCTTACGTTCCTCCGACCACAGGACCATCGCTTGCCAAGGAATTTCTCCGAACGCAGCGTCGGTCTCTCTGAAGCCGGATGGACGTTGTCCCTTTTGTAGAGACAAATAAAATTTCTAGTCGTATATTATAAAATCTTCTTCAAACGCTTGTACTTTCGTAATATTAGCATTATCACATGCCATAAATTGTATACACGATATTCTTATTATTGCATTAAGTACCAAAGAACACACATAGTTTACAAATTACCTCTGAGCAAAATCACTCCAGCGGGAGCAAAGTAACTCCTCAGTCACAATTTTATTGAGATACTTACGTAATTTCTCACTCCACACGGGTTGTTGGGCAATTCCAATTCCGGTACGATGGAAAGAGGATGTGGGTCGCTCGGCGTAGGATCGTACGGCGGAGTTTCGATAAACGGCGCGGGGGTACTGACCGGAGGCACTCTCGGAACCTGGGTCGGGATTGGCAGCACACGTTGTGGAATCACATCGGAATCGTCCGGCACCAGGGGCACGACGTTCGTGGGTTGCAGCTCTTCGTGGACGGGCGGTTTGGGAGTCGTCTCGATGGGTGGTTGTGTGGCAGGCTTCTTTGGCGGTCGCACTTTCGCGATGTTCAGGAACGTCGGGAAGCCCTGCTCGTCGAAGCCGCCTGTGTAGTTGGCCGGGAGATTGCCCGTCGGCCACGGGTCCACGTAGTTGGGGTCGCGGCAACATTTACCGACCGCTCCGGTCTTCGAGATTCTGCAGCTCTGCGAAACGAAAAAGTCGCAATCATGCGATTAGATCGTTCTAATTTTTTCTATCGAGAAAATTTCTCTTTATTTGGCACTAATTACAATATTTCTATCGTCAACAAATAATATTATTACAGACTGATGAATGATTTGAAACGCGTGTAATTGTAATATCAAACAAGCACTCCCTAATTATTTCTGTTCGATAAGTGAAACGTCTTCTGTCTCAAGCATTTTTATACAGAAAAGCCCCCTATCACGAGACAAATTCCTAATATGAGATAGCAGAGTTTCTGTTAAATTAACAAGCATCATCTATTGGTTACATCATGATTTTTTGCTCTTGAAGTGAAATCTGTTTAGTAGAAAATTCATTGTCAGATCATGTAATTGTCACGAAAAAAGATTTGTAATTGAATTTGGATGTTAAAAACCTGCTATCTCACATTAGAAGCCTATCTCATAATAGAGGACTTTCCTCCACTACTTACGCTCAACGGAACACGTCGTAAGATCTGTTTGCTGGTAAGCACAATTGGCTGTGGGCTAATCGTTCCTTCTAAGGTACAGTACTGCTCCTCTACGCAGAGCAGGGCAGCTGCGCATCCCATGTGAACCGTGAATTGAAAGACCGAGGGATTAGAGTTTGCAGGGGCCAATTTTAGCGGAGCTGAAGGGAAGACCGGCTCGCTAGCACTAACATCGCCTGTAATATTAATACACACGTTCCATACAAGGACAAAATAATTTCTCCCTATTTATTTATATAATATTTCAATAGAGGTCCTGGTAAAAGATCACGAAAAGAGAAAAGACATTGAAGAAGAGTGTCGTCGCATACCTGTTTGGTAGCGCTCCTGTTGATTTGTATCAGAAGGTATCTGATTGTAATCGATTGGCACCTCTTCGGCTGGCCTTACGTCGTCGCGAGGCTGATTAGCGGGTTCGATCGCGTATCCATTGTCCGATGGGGATTGCAGTTCGGCGTCGTTTCTTAACGGTGGTCTCAATTCGACGTCCGCCTGATTATTTTCCCCGTAAGGAAAATATTTCTCATCGTTTTCTAGAGTAGGTTCCGGATACTGATTATCTTTCAGTACCGTATTAATCTGATCGTCATACGGTGAGTTATCCAAATCGTATCGCACGGTACAGCATACTTCATGGCTGAGCTTGCATTCTTGCACCTGCGTGCATAAATATAAGATTATTAAATCTAAAGCGCGCAATTGCAAGCTTAATTGCAAGTTTAAGCTAATTAACATTAAAAATTGCGAATGCAAGATGACATCATTAATAGCGACACGGAATAACGGAGAAAAGATGGTCTCACCTGTCCTGGTCGAATAAAGCCTTGCTTCAAGGGATGCACGTATCCATCGACACACAAACCTTTAGCCACACAAACTTTATTTTTACCGCTGCAACTGATGGTGAAACCGTCCACGGCGCTAGAATAAGGCTGCAGCGTTTGGTCAGGCTGATATGCATAGTCGGGATTAAGTTGCTTCTGCGATTCTGCCGGAGCACGCGTATCGTATCCTTCAAACGTATCTGAGACAATCGCGTTGTGACGATATAATAAGTTTTTTTTATTAAGTAAGCAAAGTAAACGTGGAAACGCGCGGAGTCTTACTTTGCCGCGACTGATCCCAATTAAATTGCGCTTGACCAATTTGTTCCGGGACGATATTGTCTTTGTAGGTCGGGTAGACGTTGTTTTGAACTTGAGAGAAGCGATCGCCACCGTACCAGACGACCTTATCTTCTGAAATGTAGTTTAACGTTAGACAATCGCACAGTCGACTCCTTTGAGAGATTACTTGGTTTTTTTTATAGTAATTTTTAAATATTTAGTTACGGAAAACTTAGCAAATGTATTGTAGATAGAAACGAGATTGTTTTTCAATCTATCTTTATACACTTTTGATAAATCGGAAAAGGAATAAAATATACATCGAATTCTCTGTCTGTATACTAACGTGTCTGCAATTGAGATGGCAATTCTCCATAGGGGAGTCCACGTGTGTGCGTAGCTAATGCTACTATGACTAGTAGCATTTCTAGCAGTGGCCTCATCGTGGAAATCTGGAAGAGTCACAAAGAAAACAACGTTGACCGATTAATACGAATTTTGTATAATAAAATCTCGTTCATGCGGCGAACGAGTAAATAAACGGAGATTCCATTTAATGTCAGTTCGATGTCTCGCGCGATGTCTACGAAAAAGAATAGGAAGAAAAGAAAAAAGAAAGAAAAGATTTTTATGCACCTCTCGCGGCGATGGTCACGACTGGTTCTTCTCGGATACCTCGGATGTCACGTATAAATGCGATGTAAAAGTTGTGCAAACTTTTGCAATAACGCTCGCGCTTTTTTTTGCTTTCCTCGACGCGCAGGCGGCGCGGTGAATTATTTTAAGACCGAGAAGAATGATCGTGCGCGAAGGTGTTATATTATAATTTTATTACACTGCCGTTTTAGCCCGTTTTAGCAACCACTGACCCGAATATGGAGAACAGAACGGATCGTTAGAACGGCACCAGGAGCCGCACTCTGAGCTTCTAGTGAGAGATCGCGGCAAAGGATCGTGGCTACAGAAGTTACATGCTTCAGATGACAAGTGGGAACAAGGCTTCTCGTAGGAGTAATAATTCATTCATAACACATCCGTGATCTTCGGCGACACGTTGAGGTAAATTTACGCGGGGAAAGTATAACTGCCCCAAGTACATATAGTTTTCTTTTTTTTCTCGTGTTGCGCAGTTTTAATGATCGATACCAGCGCAAGAAGATCTCAGACCTCATTTCTTACGTGAGAAATAATCAAGTTGTTTAAATGTCACGGCTTCCTATCCGTTTAATTTCAGGTTTTTAATGAGGACTCCATTTCTCCAGGTGGAAGTTAACGGCCGAGCTGCAAGGCCTGCAATTTGCGATGCATGAATCTAAATCTACGCAATTCTAATCTAAACGCAAATCTAAACAATACTAACAACTAAGTAATTTAAATGTCGTCAAGATACTAACTCAGTATCTTGCAACACGTGCAGATTATCATGGACAATGTATCGTATATGCAAACATCTCGAAATTATTATTCGCGAAAAATGTTCGACTCGTCGCGAAATCTTCAATCAAGTGGCCAAGATACAATTTACGATACACCTTGTATGTTATTTCTAATGTTGCGAAAGTGCGTAGGATGGACAGATGATATCAATCGCGAGACATATGAATAGAAGAACACTTTCGTATCCTGGTATTTTCTAACGATGAAATAATCGCGTTCAAGGATCTTGACGCGATCTTTTTGTTGTCCGCTTATTTATATGAAAATTATGCGATATGCCCGAACCGCGTATGGAGTATCGAGCTTGATTTACATGCCTGCCGCGTGTAGGTGCTAATACATACTCCTATCAATGATGTCATCCCACTGGATTGGGCCAGGTCAGGGTCACAGCCGACAAATGAAATGTTACTGGAAATGCGAAAATCCAATTTCTCCCCAATTCAATTTAAGTGCCAAATTTTCTTCATTGATTTATACAACTAGCCGAACGAAATCTCAAATGATATAATAGCTAAACAATGATACATTTCTTCTAAGAATTTGCAAGAATCTGTTCCAAATTTAAGTTTTCCAATTTAAACTTTTATTTCTAAGTACTGGATGACCACTAGGATTGTGTTGAAAGGAAATGGTTATTATTTCGTAACAAATTAATCGAAGAAAATTAATCAACCGCCATTTTGTACAGGAAACTTGTCAATTTTATTAGCATACGTATAAAAAAATGTATATAATGTATAAATATTAATAATTTAAATACTCCTCATAAAAAAGAGATACAAATTTGCTTGCGCGTATAAATTAATGATTTTCAAAATGTTGTTTCAAAATTCAGAATCGACACAGAACTGCAAACGTTTTTAAAAGCTTTGAAATACATTAGCCAACATGGCTGTAGAAATGTTGCGTATTTTTGGATGTCATTTTTTAGTTCTTCAATGTTTTTGATTGTATAGCGTGACATCAATCTTAGAGGAATAACATAAGAGGCACATTTTAAATTATTAAAACATTATATATAGATTTGTACGTATGTTTTGTACGTAATAAAATTGACAAGTTTTCTCCACAAAATGGCGGTTGATTAGTTTTCTTCGACTTATTTGTTACGAAGTAATAACCATTTACTTTCAACACGATCCTAATGGTCATCCTGTACTTGAAAAAAAATCTGCAATTTTCTATTAGACCCAACGTTTCAATCGTGAAAAATAACGTTACTATCACTGACAACTCACACATGAAACGAACGTGAAACGTTAAAATTAATAAGATAAGATTGATTGATATGCATGTGACGTCTGGCGCCGGACTATACGAGCATCTATCTGTCGTAATCAAATTTTGTGAGTCACCCTCGCGTGCATCTCGTTGGGAAAAAAAAGTTGGCGTGGAATTCAAAACCCACGAAAGAAACGACGCGATGAACTCATTACGGATTTCCCCCAGTCCTGTACGTTTCCGATGACCTAAGGATTTGCTTTACAATTCAGCGCGTCAACGGTTTGCGTGAGAGTGACTCGTTCAAATTACACGCTGTCCGCACCTAACATTATACCGTGAGAAATTCAATACGACACGCTCGTCAAATACATATGTTAAGTGTACGCGATGACTCTGTGCGTGTACGTGTGTGCGTTCTTCTCTCGAGATAACTTCCAGAGCAACAATCATAAGAATTTTTGTAGAAAACGGAATTAAGGGAGAATCACTTGAGTGAAATCAAATTCCTCTGGTCATCGATATCTGTAATTAATTAAAAATTAAAAGTGTGATTCGCTTTCTCTACTTCTTTTCACTTTCTATTAGACAAAATAAGTTTTTTCAACTCCTACTATAGAATAAGCTGTAGCGTTACGACGAATAGAAAGAAATTTATTCTCACTTTTAGCTTTAATATTTATCAAAAAATTGAATGATTTAGTATTATCTAACTTTCCCCTACTACGTTTGAAATAAATCTTCTATATTATTCATTATTATAAGTAATACAAAAAATAGAAAATAAGACTAATTATATGTGTTGCAATAATTAGAACATATAGAAATAATTATCAAAACTTCCTTAACGCACAAATCAAGTTTGGTAAAAATTTAAGATAACTCATGGACGAGATATATTGTAAATTTTACACGTCTTCCAGTTCATTTTGCAAATGCTTCTTACAATTAGATTTTACTATTTGCACCATTTCCCGTTAATTAAAAAAAATCAATCGATCAAGGTGTTGATAATTTTTTCCTCCAAGCTCTCGCGACGTCCTCGCAACTCGAGCAACGGGAACTTTTGCTTTCCACTTTCGAACCTAAGGTACTGCTGGCCGGCTGTTAAGGCAGCGATAAAAATAATAACGCCGATCGCGAAGGATTAACGGCGCCACGTCCTGACCGGGAGAAAGTGCGAGTGTATAGCCGAAACACCGAAAATTCATGGTGTGTTCGATTTCCATGATAAGCGCCACCGGTGAACACCGGTAGGGACGGATGTGGTCCCGACCGTCAAATATTATTTTGCAAATGTATCCTTGTATCGCGCACTTTCACGTATACATTAGTGCTACTACTTTCTCCTTCATTGAATTACGCAGATTACCCGAGTATCGCACAAATCAGACTTGTCGAATTTCGCGTATAATCCGGCAACCGTCCTAATGACTCGAGTATGAATCCGAATTGAAATTAACATCCGGGTACGAGCTCTCTCGTACGTATACATTATGTATCTCCTCGTTTATAGCACAGAAACCGTTTGAAAATTCTTCTTTCTTCTTTCTCCTCTCTTCGTCCCCTCCCTCCCACTCTCTGTCTCACTCTCTCATTCTCTTTTCCTCTCCTTCTCACCTTCTGTTGCGACACGAAAGCGCATAAATAATCCGCTGATTTTGACGCATTTCATCGAACGTTTTTGTAATGTGGGTGTAATATGCATACAGCGTAAATACTTAAATATTCACGTCCTCATTAATAACGCCAATCGCTGGCCGAATAGCTGCCAAGTAGAAACTTACTTTCGATTTGTCAATCAACAAGTACTTTCACCGATACCCGGCATCTTGCTATATAATTGATATGGCATAATTAATACGTTCACATAATCAACAATTGGGTATTGGTTTGCCTAACGACAGGTATATTTCCTTATAAACACTTACGGTATTATTTCAGAAAAAGAGCAGCTTATTCCAGATAATAAAACGCATATATATTCAAATAATTATGTAATAAAAAAAAGAACGAATCTACTTCACTTCAAAGTAACTACTTTATAAAAAGTCTCCTCCAGTTTTAATTAAAATTTTTTACGTCCTTAATTTTTCAATATCAAATGTATTAGCAAGATTTCCCAATTGTCGTATTGATGCATTTAACGTTCAATAGCTAAAACTGCAGATCTAAAGTTTCATACGTTCATCAATCTTTAAATTCCCCCTGTTTCCACTGTGGACTTTTGTAATTACTTCCCTATTACTTATATCTCTTATTTATATTCAGGAAAACGAGCCAGAAAGACCTTAACATGTTCTGACAAATATCTTTACAGTTTTACGTCGTTACTTGAGTCTCGCTAGGTAAAAGCCTCTCGAGGAGAAGGTAACTTTGAAAATACGATATTTAAGAGCTTTCTTATGTCGTGCCTCTCGATCTAGCGGATGAAATGTCAGCGTGATGCGCCTGATATTTTTACTGCCTAGCACCTCATCAATCAAATTCGAATAAAGGGATCCATCTCTCATTTTCTCGTAACGATTAATGGACATCTAATGAAGCTATAGTCTGCTCCTTGTTGCGTCAGCGCGAATATTTTGGATGGGTGTTATGCCGAGAAAAACGATCGGTCGCAAGTATTGTTCGGTTTCTTTGCCCGGTCACTCTGTGATCTACGATACTGGCATATGATGAAAAAGAAGAGATCCTGCACAGAAAAAATTATGTATCAACAAGATCAGTGTAATTAAAATAAAATCGTTGAAACATTAATATTAATAAACGAAAAACATGAGATAGTTGCCTT